AGATTGCGTAAGACTGTAGATTGATCGATGTTAGATATTAACAGCGTTAGATAACGGCTGAGGGGTCCGTAGGTTAGATGTCCGCGCGCAAGCCTGAAGTTCCTGGGTTGTTAATGTGCACTGATGACCAATCCCATACCAGGATGTAAAGACTAGCCAGTGCTTACAGGTTTACAACAGCTGTCTAACATTGACCGATTCATGATTTAGAAAAGCAACTCAACAATCTTCACAACCCTTTCATGAAAATCTACCAGTTATATAAACAACAAAAGAACCCCTAGCATAAATCGACATCTGTTCAATTTATCTTAAGAGTCATAGTATGGATCAGTCAGTCAGTCAGATGCAACGTAGAACTTCGTACGTAAGTACATGAGTTCATGTCGCCATACCACATCAGCACAGAGATATAATTGTCAATTCAAATCCAATAGTAGTAGTAGAGGTAGTAAAGGTAGTAGAAGTAATCGGAGAGGTTAGGATTAGAAGATATTATTCAAGAAGTATGAGTCAGTGAGATAAGTTTAGAAAGTCAAAACTAGAGGGGTTGAAGAATCCAGAAGATTAGGATTTGACAGAGAACACAAAGAATAAATGCACCTGCGCCACTGCAAACGGTTTTGAGCCATATCGTTCAGGGTCTCTAACCATCGATTATTATCATCTCGCGAACCCCAATCAAGTAGTCGACAATTACTGACATGGCTAAGTCCACTCGTCAATGATTTCATGGATTTCTGCCATGTTTCGGTTTGGCCGCCCCTAGCTTTCTTCCGATCTACTCACACACTACAAAACAAAGCTCGACGAGGCAGTCGTTGGTTAGGCATACGCAACACATGTCCCAACCACCTCAACTGATGAAGTTTCATCACTTCATCTATTGATCTTCCATTCTTACCTAGCACCCGATTCCTAATAACAGCGTTGCTCACTCGGGTGTCCCACGGTATACGAGCAATGCTTCGAAGACACCTATGATCGAAAACCAGTAACTTACGAATATCTTCCACTCTCATTGGCCATGTTTCACAGCCATAAAGTAAGACAGAGCGAACCACTGCGCAGTACACTCGTCCTTTAGTATTAGTAGTAGTATCAGTGATAGTAAAAATTCTATTAGACATACAGACTATGATTAGCGAACAATGAATGAAACCATAGATTAAAACAAATCAAACAATTTTACAGTTGAAAACTTAACAAAAGATTTAAAGCTGATAGAAATTAATAACCTTGAAACATTGAAAGTGTACGCATGACAATTAAAACAACAACATATCTGTTCAAAACATCATCATCATCATCGCCATCTTTTGTTTTGAAGTTTCATTTATAAGACTAAATCGATTTATTCAGTGATTATGTCATGGAATGATAGAATTTTTATTTCTACACAAAATCATGATTAGTCATGATAAACATATATATGTAACCATTTTTTTTAAAAAAAACAACACAAAGTACGCATCATTCAAGAATTATTGAAAATTGAACACGTCTATTCAATGTGCAATAACCTAATTATTCATTACGCTACAAAGATTTATAAAAAAAAACAATCTATTTTCATTGAAATTGTTCAATATTCATTCTTCTGTTAATTTCAAAATGTTTATCTACACATATATATTTTATAATCAAAATAATTTATAATTATAAATGATGACTAATAGTCTACAGTAGGTGAATAGTACAAATTAAAACACGTAAACAGTGTAGTATTTGTGTTATTCAAGCCTACAACATCATTGTAACACCGAAATTTACTTGTCTTTAGGGAGAGAGAGAGAGAGTGAGTGTGGGTTGGCACAATCAACCAACATCGCGTATTAGTCATCATCATTGAATATTGAATGACCTTGACTTCAAAATAACAAAAATACACAGCTTTAAATAACTTATCTTTTTTTTAATAAAAATCATAGTTTCTTGAAGATATTAATTAACCGATTCATCAGATTAATTTCTTAGTTAATATAAGTTCATTATTAAAACGTAATTTTTTTTAAGAAAAAGTCATATCATGACTGTTTCTATTTTTTTCAGACAGTTTTGAAGGTTTGTGTTTTTTGCACATTTGAAATTAGCAGTCAGTCATTGTTAGACCACCATTAGAAGAAACCTGGAAGCACTGCAAGACGGCCGTTACGTCCTGGTATGGGATTCATCAGAGGCAGTGCGCATCCACGACTCCTGCACCTCGCAGGATTCAAACCCGGGACCTTCGGTATGGTGCGCGAATGCCTAACCATCGGACCACTGAGCTGGCCGGCATCCAACGGTGTTATTGTCTAACTCTCATTGATCTACGGAGAAGACGTAACAAATGCAGTGTAGGGTGTAAGCAGTAACTACCAAAAACAAACGGATGAGGTCACGTAAAATCTGTAGATTGATCATAGTTGTACATTGACACCGTCGAATGCCGGCCCAGTGGTCCAGAGGTTAGGTGTTCACGAGCAAGACCGCAGGTGTTGGGTTCAGAGACTGCGAGGTGCAGGAGTCGTGGATGCTCACTGACTCTGATAAGTCCTATATAAGGACAAAACGGCCGTCTTGCAGTGCTTCCAGGTTTCTAATGGTGGTCTAACAATGATTGATTGATGATTTCAAATGTTTCTATTTTAATATTTCCGACTTTATTAATGAGTGAGAATTATGAAAAATGAAATTCGTTACATGAATAGTAGAAGGATAGTAATGAAGATTCATTGGTGAGTTTTGTGTTAAACATGTCAAGTTAATTGAGTATAAATGAAATGTTGTCACTGGTGACTAGCTTCATGAAGGAAATTCCAGAAGTTCTAGTGAGCAACCGTAATCGGTGGAGTTCAACTCCGTGAGATAGTTACTTAACGAAGACAGTGGATAATGTTGAGTAATGTTGTACATTGATCGAAGTTATACATTAACACCGTTAGATGCCAGCTCAGTGGTCCAGAAGTTAGCCGTCCGTGAGCAAGACCGAAGGTCCCCGGGGTTTGTGGATCCACACTGTTGATGAGTCCCATACTATGAGAAGACGGCCATGTACAGTGCTTCCAAGTTTCTAATGTTGGTCTACCAATTATTGATTCATGATTTTAACCAGTATAAATAGTTGAATGAATAAGAGCTTTAACTTAAGATATAACATTATATTTAATACCCCCATTTTAATTTCAATAGTTATTCAGTGTATAAGCGAAGCACTCAAGTAAAAGAACCAAGATTTTAAGCAAATAACTGACAAGTTTAAAATACTTGAATAATAACTCGGGCCTCAACATATTAGGACGCAGACACACACACACACACACAAACGATCCATTTTTCAAGTGAACAATACTGGGTTCATGTTGTCGATTGAAAATCAACTCTAACATAGAGGTACTGTGAACTGACAAGTTTCAAATAGGATAAAACATATGTGCTGAACAATTTAAACTTTTATCAGTAAAATGCCTAACGGATACTTGTCAGATTAATAATATATTTGAAATCATGAAACGATCAATGTTAGACCACCA